CTGATAACTTTTGATAATATACATTTTGAAGGTAATTCATAAAAAAAACGTTTGAAATCAGATTTGAATTATAATTTATGTTTAACGAACACGTTCAATTTAGAAAAATTATATTTTTTTAAACTGCTATTCTGAAATCTTAAAAGAATGTGCTCGCTCATTTCATCGAATTCAGGTGTACATTTTACTACGCGAAACTTGTAACTGCCACCGGCTTAGTCATAAAAGTAATAGACCAGTGCAGGCGCCGACTTTCTTTAATTTTACGACTTCAAATACCTGTATACTTGCAGTACGCTTGTAAAATTTCTAACTGCCTCTTCAAAAATTTCGACCTTCATTCGCTGACAATCATTTAGAAACCCTCATGAAATTTGAGTGATGCATGTAAGAATTTGGATAGGGGATGAATTTTTATTGTTTCGAAGTACTGATAACATTTGAATTATCACTATTTACCGCAATCATGTGTGCAAGTAATACTTCCAGCAAACAATAGGAAAAAAATATGACTCGGTAATATCCCTTTTACCTTCGTGCTCTATAATAAATGAATCCGTTGGATTTTTCGCGCTCCTTTTTTTCGCGAGGCTCGCATTAGTCACCGACTCACTCTCTACTTGGCGCAAAAGCAAGACCGCAATTAAAGTGTCGCTGAACTCGCGGTTGCCACTGAACGATCGAAGAAACGACAGTAAGAGAATGAGAGAGAGAGAGAGAGCGAGAGCGAGCGAGAACTGATCATTATCGAAGCGCATAATAGCATAGCTGACTATCCGTGTACTGCCCGATAAACTTGGCACTGCATTGGGCGCTAGCACGTTAAAGTATTTCACGAAAAGTTTAACCATTCATTTGAAAAGAGCACGGATAAACTGGAGTTTTGGAAAGCGAAACAGACATTTATAATTCTATGTCGAAATCGTAGTGAAGATTTCGATTTTCATACGAATAATACAAAATATTGAAAACTATTTTGTTAAAAATCATTTCTACACATTTTAATTTTACTTACAGGATTGCATTTGTAATTTCATTGGGACACACGAATTTGAATTTTTGTTTTTCCTAGGAAAGTAATTTTATTATATGAAACAGTTGACTGCAGATAGCACGGTCAATGATATGTGTGATTAACCATGTTATCTGTTTTTTTGTCATTAGACTTCAATTAACATGACGCATTTAGAAAAAAATGCAGGTGAAATACTAGCAATGCATTGGCCAAGCGTAGCGTAAACCTAGACTCGCTAGACTGACTGGCTCTATTCGAATCGTGTGTATATATATATTTACTTTTACTTTCACTGTTAAAGGAAACGCATGTTGCATACACACACACACACACAGAGCAGTTATATATATATATATATATATATATATATATATATATATATAGCAGCTGCCACGCCAGGATAACTTTGTGGATCAATTATGAAGCCGTCCAGTATGGTTTATTAATAATTTCGAAACTTAAACGCGTGCGTATGGACACAAGTTCCATTGCACACGTTTTAGTACCTTATCACCTGCTATACTTGCACTCGCGCGAAAATAAAGTGGAACCTATGTAATTCTGCGCTAGTCACGGCAGTGTGCCTTTTAATTGCAACATCTGGTGAGTGGAGGTTTGTTTTGATGCCGCTGGCGAAGGTGAAGGACCTGTTCTGACGTTATATTGCCGCCAACACGCTATATGACTCTTTCTTGCACAAGTTGCAAAGAGCTTTTATTCTTGTATCATACTTGTGTGTCTTTCCCGGAATCCAGACTTTTCCCTCTTTCTTTTTTTCTTTTGATACATAATGTCTCCATTAGCCGGATTTTCATTGTGTGAAAAAATTTTTCTTTCTACACTTTGCATAAATTATCTAAACCGTGTCAACGACATTATTTATGTTTTCATAAATAATGCTTCTGTGGTATAACTATTCATTTTTATTGTTTGTATACTTCATTTCTACATTCAATTCTTTTACGATGTTTTCAATCTATGTTTAACGTTTATAAATTGGTCTATTAATATAATGGTAAATTTTAAAATTTTAATAATTCCAAACCAAACTTTAGCAATCCGCTGATTTTCAAAAATTCTGATTAAAAAAGAGCTATAGTATTTTATTCTGTTGTAAGAATACTGCATGATGCTCGTCAATTTTAAATTTAATTCAAACACGAATTTCAAAAAACTACAAATATATGTATTAGTACTAAAAATTTAACTTAATAAAAAAGCATCTTATGCTTGGTAATAATGAATGCAACAATCAAAAAATTCAAAAGACAAGGACGAAACGGAAAAACGCCCATAATCCTCTCATAACTCATTCTTTTAAAATACCAACAGCTTGTCAAAGTAACAAATACATCACAGGTAAGACTCTTCAGTGAAAAATCGCATCAGCATGACACGTCACGTCCGCAATAAAATCTCAAGGCGCATTTTACTCTTAACTCTGTCGTCGCGTTTTACGGTCCGTGCACTTAAGCTTGCTGCGGGCATTGCGCGCTCGGCCCCAAAAACAGGTGCAGGCGTTTCGCGGACGGCTGCAAATCGTTATATACGGTAGGGGCCAAATTTAGACTGTAATATCGTGGGGCTTTTATTTTCCTACGAGCTGAGTTCTGCGCATCGGTACGTTTTCAAGGACTTTTCAATAAGGAGAGTAGAGTACACACTGCACACCACACTGCAGCAGTCCGCGATTTGTTTGACTTTTTACGATAAACGAGTACGTTAACGCTCACTATTCATTGCACGAATGCTTTTGACTTACGACGCGGATATTTAACTTTTGTTTGACTTGCGATGTGCAGTTGACTTCGATAAATTGGAATACGTCTGGTTTTTTTTTGGGCTCAATTTACTACAAATATTGGTGTTTTTAACTACTTATCAAAATTTTTAGTGGTATTAGAAATTTCAAGTGTTATACGCATTCTTATAAAACTATCAAACCATATATTTTTAATTTCATGAATTATCGGTAAAACTTTCCATAGTGCTTATAAATACTTTATATAAATTTGCTTTAGAGTTTTGGCTGTAATATGCTGCATTCAAAAGCGAAAGACAGGGAAAGAGAAAGAGACACAAGTCTGTAACAAAAGTAATCTCTAAATTTAAACCTCAAAGGACAAAGCCCTTGCCTATTGAAAATCAAAAAGAACCGAATAAAGCACCTGGATCTTGGCTAGACGGAGAAAGTAAACTTTTTTCACGTCTGTTTGCTCGAAATTTTTCTCGGTTGCATTGTCCACAGACATACTGCAGACATAATCGCGTAGGATTCGCGTTGTTAAAAGCTTTCGTAGATTATGAGAGACTCGTCGGCTTTCACTCTGTATACAACGTATTGCGCTGGAAAAGACAGGAAAAAACCAGAGACGCATCGACTTCATCGATCGCACAGCGCAATACGTAGACACACACGCGGAAATTTCTCCGTATAGATCGCGCAATAAATTTTATAACCGTTTAGTTCTGTATTAGGATAGGATTGTGCTACGGCAATCAATCTTACCATTTTTTTAATTTACAGTAACTTTGTCTATGTAAACATAAACAATTACTCACAAAGATCACATCGTTTAAAATGTTTAATTTTCTTGAAAATTATTTCTCCAAAACATAAACTAAAAATAATTGAGCAATTTTGAGAATGATTTTAATTAAATTCATCAATATGTATATTCTATTGCACGTAATAAAATATATTACAATTAAAGACACAAACTTATCATTGGGTTAATTTTAATAAAATGATACTAGTTTTTAAAATGTCATTCAACTCTATCTGTAACTTAATTTACTACAAATTATATCCGCGAGTATGCCGGTAAAAATTTGCTAGTTACCGACCAAGGTATATTACTACCAATCTTCCAATTTTCTCCGGAGAGAAAACTGTGTCAGCACTGCTCGCACATTTTACCGTCGATAAAATAGATTGCTGCTATAAAATTTTTGAATTTTAATTTATTGATTCTATTTTAGAACTTTTTCCTACATTCTTTCGTTATTACTTAATACGTCTGATAATAATTAAATCTAACTTTATATCAATCGATAAAAGTGTGAAAGAAACTGAAATAAACGAACAAACGTTTCGATCGTTTTAAATATTTTTCACAATGGCTTGAACGGGTACTTTTCATAGAAGGTGAAAAAGAATACAAATCCAATGGCTCTTTCTACTTCTATGTAATAATTAATAATTTTTTAGTTTGAAGTTGATATGAATTTTATATACGAATCACTAAAAAATCAGTCAATCATTATTTATTGGTAAATATATAACATATAATTTTCCAATAATCCATTAAAATTTTATCTTTCAGTGATTGAACATAATCATATACGAAAAAATAGAGCACAACATTCAGTGCCATGAATTGTGTAATTCTTTTCATTTGAAATATTTGTCACTGCATGTAGATTAATTAGAAATAAATAATAAATAAAGCTAGTTTAAGTTTCAATATTTATAAACAATATTTAGTTCACAATATAGAAAATAATTATTTTATTTGCGTATCAATTAAATTAACACAATTTAATTATTTTATAAAAAAAATTAGTCTTATAATGAATTCTCTAATTTAAATACATTTGGTAATCTCGAAAGTTTTAGATCTTTTACTCGTCGTTTACTTATATTTCTAAAATTTCAGATCTAAATACTATTCAGTATTTCTATTATTCAGTATTTCTACCTGTAAGCCTCTTTTATTACTTATCCTTTCCTCTCAAAAATATTAACTTAGTGGGATAACTAAATATGATTTACGAAGATTAATTGGCATGGATTAACATCCCTTTTCCATCTCAACTGATCAGTTCTTTTAACTAAATATCCTCAATTTTCGCTACTCGTACATAGGCTAATTATTAATAAGACAACTGGGTAGTGGAAAATAGACGAAATGCCATTGATGAAGGGCTTGGATAAGCTCCGCCCTGGTCCTGTGGGCCTTGTGCCGGGCAAGCGAGTGGTCGAAGAGAGGGAAAATTTGGGCAGTAGTGCGCACCGGAAAACTCAAGCCGGCATTACTTCTCTAATAGTCGTCCTGTACGCTTGTTCAGTAAATACCGTAGAAGTGCAAAAATGCTCAAGTATGCTGCGATCAAGTTTCATTGTGATCCGGAAAAAATCTACGTGATTCGGGCGAAGAAACATTTGAAGTTTGAAAAAAAATTTTATGTAGACAAATTAATATGTAAAGCGCGTTGGAAGTGCAGACAATCCTGCAAGGGATCTGAGCATATGGACGATGATGATCATCGGTGTGCTGAAGTCCTTCTTATGGGCAGTAAGTAATAAAAATTTTTCTATTTCGTTGAAAGGTCGTAAATTTAAAGAATATTTTCAAATTTCCATTTGAAGTTAATTAAAATAGAAGTAACCGGCTGATGATTAAAATGAAAATGACTGACATTTTATAGACCGATAAGTTCAATATCAATTACCTTCCACAGATTGCCATGATAATATCGTAACCATGCTGCAACGTTATCATCAACTTACCGTGATCCAGATCGAGGAGCAACTTGAAAATTTGCCAATTGAGCAAGAAGCAAGTGATAGAAGCTGAAATATTATAAGTTCGTAAATACTTAAGATAATTTTGCTTATTTGTGACGTAAAATAATCGTGAATATTTTTTTTCATTTCAGATGTAAACGAAAGCGAGAGTAGCTGAACCAATCAAGGTGACCAGCCAGGCAGACATATTTTAACAGAGGATGCTATCTGTAATAGTGACCAATACAGTCCGGAAGGGAACGATAGAGAATTCAGTGCAGTCGTAGATGAATCGTACTCGATCGTATTGAGGCTGAGGAAAAGAAGCCGTATGGTTGCGAAATAAATAGTACAACAGCGATCAGCAGGGCACCCATGCGGCTACCGATGCTACACTGCAAACTTCTGGCGATTCAGTTCATATTGTTGTTTACTTCACATCTTATCGTGATTGAATAATTTTTTAATAGAAAAATTGGTTTGGGTAAAATAACTAATAGATATTTTATGACGCAATTTAATGTAGATTTCACACGTATACATGAGAATATTGAATAAATAGTCAGAGCAAAACTTCTCTACATTTATTAACATATTGTCAAACCTTTGCACAAACCACATGAGTATTTTCCAAATTGCTGCCTTTCTATCTTCCATAGATTTGTCGACGCAGCCTGCGAATTCTGACAATAAGACCCATCCGACAATACACATCGCAAGCGTACGCTACAAAGCAAAATCTCTCGCTCCTTGCGCGCGCATTTAGCAGTTTATATATCCCACGGAAATGCTGAGACGCCGGTGCTCTAATTACGTCATTCCGTTAATTTCATGCAGATTGCAGAAGCGCGTAAACAGCCCCCGGGATCATCGCATGCGCCCTGCACGACGCCAGATTATTGTTCTGCTGCACTTTGCCTTGCTGCCACCTCTGCTGTCGAAATACTTTCGGGTTAATTGTTTTCAATGTCGCGTCGCGCGTTGGAATGACGTGAGCTTGCTCGTGGAAATCGTTCTGACGCGTAATTCGACGGAACTTCGATGTTTTAACGTGGAGTTCAATTAAACTCATGTGTGTTTAATTATCTTTGTAAAAGAACATGAAAATCAGAAATACATAATAGAATGCAATTTTTACAATTTAAACTCTACAAAGAGACAAAGATATTAAATAATGAGAATTAAATCAACAGCGTAAATATTTAAAATTTTACATCTATAAGTGTGAATTAGTTTTATCTGCCTGTAGTTGATTTCAGTCCGGCATTTATTATCTATGATCGCCCTGTTTAATGAGCGAACGACAACCTTAAATAACAATTTAAGCAATTAGTAACGCCATACATTTCGATTTTATCACATCTAATTAGTAGTCGAGTCTAATAGCCTTAGCCAGGTATCAAAGACACGAAAATACCCACTAAAGACTTAAAGCTCCATTAGATGAAGAAAAAAAGGGAGGAGCACAGAAATGTCCAGTTTGCAGTTTTACCTCTGTATATACGGGCAGTATAAGCATTCGGCCTCTCCTTTTATTGCATTAGGATTTCTCTCGAAACTTATAAGAAAAACTGTATGAATAGCACGAATATTTTTACAAAATAAAAATTCAAATTGAATTAAATTCACGTATTTATTGAACTCATTCGAGAAAAAAATTACGTGATAATAGCTGGCAATGTTCAACTAATTCTATCTAAAACTAAATTATGCAATATAAAAAAAATATTATATAATAAGAATAATGTCTTAAAAATTGAAAAAGCCAAGATTAAAGATTATATTCTACGGGCCTATCAAACTCTCATGAACAAACTAGAGTGTAGCCACGAAATTCATCCCCTCGTCGTAGCTCAAAATCACTCCACAACTTTTCTCTCAAGCCACATTACACCGCAAGTGTGCACTGGGGCGCTCTACGGCATCCGTGCTGCTGCAGCGTCTCTCGAGAGAGGAAAGCGCATGCAAATGTATGTGCATGCTTTATTGTTCAAGCTATAGGATTAAGGTCGGCTTCAAGGTAGACCGACACTATACCAGCCTATACACCAACCTGAGTGCGGGAGGGGATGATAATTTCTTGGCTTGGTTTCTCCGAGAAATTTATGAATATTAAATCTTGACAAATTCAGATGGTGAGTAAGAGATATTGCGGCTGAGTATTGTTCTTTTGATAGCTGTCTTTGCATAAATTGTGTTTGTAAAATGTCTAAATAACTTTCAAATGAATGTTTGATTCTGTTTCAGAAAATATTGTATTGATAAAAGTTTTTAATTATTTTTTACGCAGTACAAGTTTGAAACACGGGTTTTTTTAATCAAAAAGTTGCTTTCTTTCCCAAGAAATAATGTCGATTAATTCTGCTGTTTCCTCTAAATTTATCATAATGCTATTTGTTAATTCGCTCAACTAGTTACATAAATTACATAAATTGATACAACAAATATCATTGTTTTATTTCTATTCGATATAATCAGTATCGATCATTCTAAAAAAATTAAAAAACGCATCCGTTTTCTTTTATAAAAAAATATTAAAGTGACGACATATGTATATATTTGTTTCTTTAACTTAGAGGGCGAGAAAAACGAGGGAGTGTTGAATAGTATATGTTTCGTGAAGGACATTTAAGCATCACTTTAAAAGAAAAGTCATAAAGAAGGGAAACACATTATTTAAAAACTTCTCTGTGTAGGTCACGCTACTGCGTAGGTACGCTAGACATTTCTATTTTGTAAAAATTAAGTCTCAATAGAACTATCTTTAGCTGCACATATGTCTTTTAAGATTTTATGTTTAATTACAGACTTCCAAAGTTTTAGTCAAAAAAAGGTCTCTCCAATGAAATTTAAAATAAAAAAAATGTTGCTCTAGGGGCAAACGAGAAAAGTGTTGAAAAAGTAGTACATAAAACTCAAACTAGCTATGGACTTGAAACTCGGAGGAAAAGTTTACCTACAAGTGCATTTGGTGCGTAGTCAAAACCTATACTGAAGATATAGCGATGTACTTAACTTGTCAATTAAACAAGTTTTTACTAAATCCGAGATGATCGAATATAAACTGCTCATTGGCATATTAAATGATCTATATAACAATGAATTAAAATAATTAAAAAAACTATTTGCTATGTTAGAGACGTTATTTAATCATTGGAAGGTATATCATGCCTTCTACCTAATTTGTAAGAAAAATATTTTTAATAAAAAAATACTGTGTAATTTAATTAACAGAACTTTTACTACCGGGAAAGCTACAGGTCGCAAAAATTTCGTCATACTGCAAGAATAAAAGAAATTTCGCTAGCAACAAAAGTGCTTTAATTGCACTACGAGCAGTTCCCTGAATTATTTCGAGATGAAAATCTTTAGAAAAAACATTTTTCAAGACTTTTCTAGAATATTACTTGCTTGTAAAAAAAAGGAGAAAAAAACTAATAGAAATCATCTCACTATATATTATCAAGAAAACATAAATCATGACATTTATTTTAATAATTATAACAATTCTGGAATAATGAAACTTCATTGCAAACAAATGCAATCGTTTTATACAGCTACATAATGTCACTTGTTATAGTCACAGCTAAGCGTTTCTAAATCGTAATGATACCATTTTATCCTTCAAAAGTGTCATTTCCCAAATGTTTGAGATCTGAAAAATTGATAGGTGAGATAGCTAATCGCAATATCTTAAACAGTAACACTTCAAATCATTAAGATAACTGTCGCAAATACCGATAACAATCACACGAACAACATCAACTTACCCGGCATTAGCACTAGCTTGGGCTCCAGCTCCGCTACTAGCACCACCAAATGGACCCCCTCCAAAAGCTCCGGCTGCAGCATTAGCCTCCGCCTCAACTAAGGCACCTGCTCCAGCGCTGCCGAAACCGCCTGGAACACCGAAACCCGGTACACCTGCATGTGGGCCGTTGCAGCCGCCATGATGAGCTGCTCTTGGTACGCGAGCTTCTACTCATTATTTTGTATTAATTAATCATTCAGGCAATTTTTAATTTTAAGCGTTTTTACATAAATGACAAAATCAAATTCAAAAGAATTTCTAAGAACGTTTTTTTAATAGATCAATCGTGTTAAATTGTAGAATTATTTTCTTGTTTATCATAAATCTTACAACACATTTGTGCTAAAACGTAAATACAGATAACGATTGTATGTTATTGAGTTGTAATATATTAACAGTTATACGTTAAACTAAATTATATATCTGGAATATAGTAGTAAGTTGAAAGAATACCAATTTGGTCTGCTGGAACAGCCTCGGTAAATGCCATCAGTGCAAAAAAAAGCACAATTGCACAGTTGAACATTATTATAAACTATTCTTATTTTTGTAACGATTAATGTTTGTCTTTTTGGCGACAAGATACTGAAAAATACGCGGCTAGCTGTTTCTTTTATAGGTAACCTATTCGATTGAATTTAGGAGAATAACGAATCGCATTTCCGTTTGGACACAAGGAAGGATCAAAGCGTATCAATGATGCAAGCATTGTTTCATTTTTTATTTCATTCGTCAAACAACAAAAACAAATGTAGTGATTACACAGGCCGATAGAATTTGAAACAATTCCGGACCCAGAGACCAGATAAGGTATTTCCGAAGGAATTCGGTGCGCTGAATTCGAATCCGAGCTCAAAATTGCTCCATCACCCTCAGTTTTCGAAATATCCTAACATAATATTTTCCAACAGAGATATATCACATTGAAGTATGATAAATTTGCATTTTTGCAAATGTTGTTTTAGCAGAAAAGAGTTTTGTTGAAAGATGATAGTGATAAACCTAGTAGGGTACAGGGTTAGTGGGTTAAGGAACTTAGAATGTAGTTGTCGGTACCGGTACTTTAGAAAAGGTACTCGGGATATTATTTTATTTTTTCAGCGAAGATTATATCTCGGCGAAATTTTCCTCTGCTTAACCTGTTAACCGGGGAAATCTCTTTCTAATTACGCAACATATAACGGGCGCGTCCTTTTCCACTAAGCGTGTATGAATGACGTATTACCATAGTAGTAGTAAAATATACGTCCCGTCCGTTCCGGGGCGCAATATAAATATCGAGGACGTATTCATATGTCTTACCCGTACCCGATATTGTTTACTTTGGACGTATTTATACGTCCCGCTCGGTTAACAGATTAAACGAGATTTGCAAAAATTTCAAATTATCATATAAATGATATAGAAAAAAATGAGGAGTGCATTTTGATGGACAAGAGTAGCATTTTTATGATGTCGTCAAATTTGTGAAAATTTTTTTTTTACAAAATATAGGGGTTAGAGAACAGAAAAAAAACGTTTTTGACGCTTTTAGGTTAGGATATATCGAAAACTGCGGTCGATGGAGTAATTCTGAGCTCGGATATGGATTCAGTGCACCAAATCCCTTTGGAAATACCTGGTCGGATCTCTGTATCTGAGAAGCATCGGCTTGTGTTATCAAATCAAAAATATTTTTAATTAACATGAAGTTGTAAGATCAATAAAAAAAAATAAACTGCTCTGAATGCTAGTTATCGTAGGTCGTAGTTCAATTAAATCTCGATTGTATGAATCAGCGAACAGAGAAGATACGATCAGAATTTAACTTCCAAAGCATATCTACAATTAAACTAATTTCTTAGTATACGTTTAGTGTTAAAAGCTTTAACACCTGTGCTATTGCATATAATGCTCAAACTCATGTAACATTTACACAATTATCGCTATAATGACGATTTTTTAAGTTATCGAATGAGTATAAAATTACGCAACCGAATGAGAGAGAAAGAGAGAGAGGAAAGAGAAATAAAAACCTACATTATTTGATTATTTATATGATTATTAGGATTATTATTATTTTTTTAATAAAATATCATTTATCTACTTCATCGATAAGAAAACAAAGAACGGTCTACTAGATACAAATTCTAGACAGAAAATTGAATGCGAAATTATTATTTCGATAAAGCACTTTGTCTCACGCTAAGTCAAAGGAATTCTCAATAATTTTATTTTTTAAGATTGTATCATTCGCAAGAAGTCTTAAAGGGGAAACTGTTGGATGACAAAGACCTGCATACTTGGACCAAGAGCGCAACGGCCAATTGATCTCAATTGCTGATTCAGACCCGGACAGCACGTTACGTCAGTTCGCGTCACGCGCTCACTGCACGCAATCCGAAGAACTGAAAGCTTTCCATTCTCTTCGCGCTGTAATAATGTACTTTTTTATAATTGATTAAAAAAAACAGATTTATTATTTATTCGATATGAACTTATTTTATAAACTTTCGTAGAACATTTGCGCTTAATATGATAATGTTGATACTATTGATACTACTGATAATTATATGTTCGACATGTACGCTAATTCAACTTTCATCATTATGTGTGTGTGTGTGTGTATGTGTGTGTATAGCATTAATACGTATATGTATATCACGTTAATATGGCATACATTGAATTGAAAAATTCCATTGGTAAAGGGGCCAATTTTCGGTATACAATATCGTGTTAATTCAGAATGTAAAAGAATTTTCATTCAAAATATAATACTAAACTTAATTAGTGTCTGGATTAATTATTCTCATTATTATTAATTAATAATGATATTTACGTTTTGACAAATATACTTCTGATTAAAAACTATTTATTTTCCGATACAACTCACTAAAATAAAATTAAAGATTCTCAATATAACCGATGAAGTTACAACTTTTTTTCCATATTAAATATGCATTGCATTCATTCGATTGTAATATAATTGTTAACTAATGATTTCCTAGTTGTGTAAAATCAAGATTTTTTAGCTCATGGTTTTTATTGAAATAAGTCGTTTTTTCACAATCAAAATGTAATAACGGGTTTGATTGCTAATACAAGTTAATTGTCAAAACTCATTATGATCACTCACAATAAATCTCTTCATATGAAGATTTCGGTACATTATTCCATGTTGCAATAAATAGATCGCTTTTCTATAACATATAGGTTTTATTTTGAACAAAATATATAAAGCATTATTTCATTAATTTTTTTTTTATTTTAAAAATATAAAATGAAAACGATACGACGACGTAAATTGTTGCAATAAAATTCTAAATAAACGTCGTTGCAAATATACTTTCAATATCGTCTGACTTTCCCATTATAAAATATTAGTATTGCTTTTCCGACGTTGACTTCCCATGCTTGAAATTCCATCCGATGAATTAAGCACTTAGATGATCACTAAACCGTAGCAGGCGCTCATTGCATTTGAATGCACTCTGGTGGGTCTCTTCAATGGTCCCATTAATCGGTTGATTATTTCATTTGTCATAATTCGACGCGACAGGAAACACACTAGTAATACACAACCTTGACTCAGCAACGTCTTTGCCGTCGTCGGCAAGGAGATACCTAATGACCCTACTTTACGCAATGGTCAATTGTCGAATCAACTGCTGAGATGCACCAACAATCAAACTCAGACTGGTTGCCGATTTATTAATGTTTTTCTTCATTCTTTGCTCCGGAATTTTTCCTAGGATGAGATATAAATTGCATAATGTGAATGATTGATCACATTTTTTCTATCTCTTATAATTTTTAGTTTATTTATAAAGAAATTATAGTGCAAGCTTTAGTCTTTTTATCAGAAATAGATTATAAGTCCAAAATAGATCTGCTTCTTAATTACGTAGAAACGTGATTTATCTTCTACTTAAAAATGTAGACGAATAATTTTTGAGTAGAAAGTGAATCATCACAGTAATAAATATTGTAATAAAAACTAATCTTTCATTAAAATAGTTATGATAAGTAAATAATAAATTCTAGTCTATTTAAGATCATGTTTGACATCGAACCGTGTATATTAGTCATTTGTATAATTCAAATTTACTGTTTTGTCAATCATGTTTCACCCGAAATTGAAATATTACACTGCTATTATCTTTTCTTGAAATGCAATTAATCTTTAATTTTAATATTCGTTTTGATAATATGTCTTTCTCTTACACTCAGCAAACAATTTATGAAACCGAATAAATTTATTATTTTTTGTAATATGCTAAAATAAATAATACTTGTTTGTAATTCTATATTTCTTAACTCAAGAAGGGAATGATAATTTAATTAATAAATTATTTTAAAGCAGAGAAAATATTTACACAGTTTTTAATCTTAAAAAATAAATTCACAAAAATATCTTATATCATTTTCATAGATTAATAATATATAAAAATTTAATGTGAGTAGAGTTTGATTAGACTTGATATCAATGCAAAAATAGTATCACAAGCTCCAGTCAATGATCTATTTAAATATTGTTTATGAATAATCAATAGTGAGTTTTACAGTATGTTCACTATGGACGCTTTATAATAACTTTATGTACAAATATATTATCGACGACATGTTTTAATGAGGTAATAAGTTGATAACAATGCACTTTGATTTGATGCTGTGGTATTTTTTAAGTTTTTGTCTCATTTCTTTGTCAGTTCATCTTGTATCTCTCGCAAGCTTTTACCTTTTGTTTCTGGCATCGCAAACAGAACATAAGGTATTACCGACAATGCGAATAACCCATAAATTAGAAACATGTATGCTTCACCCACAAAATTGACTAACGGTTGATAAGATTTACTTGATAAAAATGCAATAATACCTGCAGTTAGACTGCCCAGGCAACTAACGATACACTTAACATTCGAGGGAATAATTTCACTAGATACAGTACTAGGAACTGAATTCAAACCAATAAAAAAGAAAAACATAAAAGATATCATCGAAGCAATCGGTAACCATTGTAAATTCGTTACATCGAGATCCACGTCAATAATGAAAAAATAACTCATCATACTGAACATAGAGATAGTAACGCCAATACTAGAAGTAAGTAGAAGAAACCTTCGGCCACACCTATCGATCAGAAGCATCGAAAACAAGGCACCAATTGTCGCACAAATATTGATAAATATAACGATCTCAGCGGCTCTACTGTTCTTTGCTCTTCGCATTATAATTTCCAGATAAAATACTATGCTGTTTAAGCCGCAGATTTGCATAAATGTAAAGAGTATCATCACATGATAAGTTATTTTTCTCACATCGGAATTTTTAAATTCTCGTAGTCTGTTAATAAATGTTATAGTTTTCTCAGACGCCATAAATTTCTCTAGAGATTCTAATTCTTCCTGTGTGCCTTTACCAGATCTGTACCAGTTTATCGACATTTCAGCTTTTTTCCGATTTCCAATTTTGATCAGATGATGAGGGGATTCAGGTAAGTAAAGAAACAATGCCATTAGCCATATACAAAATGTAAGATAAACGCACGCAGAGACACCTATACTTAAATAGTTACTAATTATACTCCCTAATAATAGACCAGTAGGACCACCGCATGTAGCTAAAGATACAAGTGCACCTCTAACCTCGGGCATAGCAATTTCTCCAAGATAAGAAGGAAAACAACTGAAGGCCATTCCAGCCCCTACTCCACTTAACAGTCGAGCAATGTATAAAATTTCAACACTCTCCGCTATTGCTATCCCGAGCCAACCCAAAGCTATTGGGATCGAAGTGGCCAATATAGCATTTTTTGTTCCGAAATGAACAGTCACTAATGATCCAACGATTGCACCACAAAATCGACCAATGTTAACTAGGGATGCCATCCATGATGCTTCTTCTTGATTTAAAGCGATTGGTGAATTCGGACCGGTTAACTTTGCCAGCATCGGTGAGACACATCCTGTTATGAAGCCAAGTTGCATAAAGAGTAGCATCACTGAAAATTGATAGAATCTTATTGTAGATTAATCTCTTACTATTACACATTAAGAATATATCTGTATTATAAAATATTATTCTTCAAAATTATTAAATAAATTGAACTTGTATCTGACTGCAATCTTGTGGAGGAATTAACTCCAACGTCAATCACAGTGTCCAATTAAATTAATCGTAATATAATTGCAAATATAAATTGTCTTAAGAAAATCTATAAATTGTACAAATAATACGAAAATAGGATTACGCAATTTTTGTAAAGAGTAGCGCAAAGGTCTGTTTAGTTATTTGAAATGAAGATAGAATAAATTAATTTTAAAGAAAAGTTTTTATCTCCTTTTTTTCAAAAACATAATCTTTAGCTTATTATCTTGTTGTAAATTAAATGATAATGATCATGAGTAAGAGAAAGTTTAAACTTACGATAACAATAAAAAGCTTAAAATTCAATGGTTTAATGATGCTTTTTTATTCTATCAAAGATAAAGTATAAATACCTCCTATACTGGCAATCCACTGAGGAATAAAACTGATTTTCCGAGATTTGAATATTTGCATGAAGTACGTTATGTACGTTGACGTTGGGCACGAAAAAGTCATTTTTAAAAATATTTATTTATACTTTTATTTTTTGGCTACAATATTACGTGATCTTGATAATTTTGATAATTATCTTTCTGTTTCTAAATGACACATCTCAAAAGAAACCGGAACTGGGAACACTCATTACATAACAATTACACAAAAGTGGTGGTGTATTCAAAATCAATAACCTTGAGCTCATGTCTCAATGATTAAGTTTTGCAAATAATATATCCACTGGAAATGAAGTGTCGAATAATCGACTTTGATGCGGTAGTGTCCACAGGCGATTTCTTGGTTACAGAATGACTTGCGTGGGGAGGCGAGACATTTCTGCGCTCATTGAACGTGCTCAACTATCCTAGCGGACTCCTCGCCACTTCCTTTAGTCAGGCCGGCTTGTTCCAGGTTCGTGCGCGTGCGCATTATTACTTCCACGATTAATAATGTCTTAATTTAGTTTGTAGCTTCGTTGTGGAAGAATAATGTTCAATTACAATCTCTCATCGAGAAGAGGAAATCACATCTGTAATTGAATTTAAGTACGCGATTGTGTGTCGAATAACCGTCGGTAATCTGCGCGCTCTGCTATAATCGAGTCACATAATATGATAAATAAGCGTGTGATAAATAAACACTCTTTTTTTCTTAATTTTAACAATTAACTTGGTGTAGGTTGTTCTATCATAATACAATACGTGGCAAATTGATTAGAACAGTTGTCAGAAGATACGATCAAGTGATGTAACGAAGACGTTGCAAATTTTGTTGAAATGTGATGAAGCAAGCGTTTGCAAAGGTCAGTTTTTCATCTAATTTTCAATTTTTACACAGACGATTCGACAGTAAACAGCCTAAAATGCAGTAATTAATATAATTATGACAAGCTGACAATAAATGACTATAATTTTTAGTTCACAAATAAATATATTATAGAGACTTCAAGTGTTTGATTACTATGTCTAATTTTATCCGTAGCTTCCAGATGATTAGAAATACGAAGAAATCTTTTTTATTATCGTTATTATAATCTTCAAACTGCTTTTACGATTCGAACAAAAAGGTTCAAATTTCGTAATTGGATTATATTTAGCTATTAACAATATTGATTAACCAACAAAATTGTTCAAATTTAGCTAACATTTTACAAATAAGTCCATTGGTTAATTTTGATGAATAAAGATTAAAATAATAAAGCATTAATGAATGAAGGTAATATTCTTTTCACAAGCAATCAATGCAATTTCATACCAATATATTTCTTATAGTCAAATCAATCAAAATATGTCAATCATTTAAATGAGCAAATAATTTATGCTCTTCTGTTGTACATATAATTCCTGAAACCTTTAATGAAAAATTACAACTTCATCAAAATCATTCAAATAAAAGATCATGAATTCGTAAAAAAAAGAGAGAAAAAGAATTGGTCGTAATTGACTATCTAAAACTTTTTGAATTTTCATATATTTAAAATATTTATATTTAGTTATAGCAAAATATACAATCTATGCGTTTCGAATTTTTATCCAATAAAATTCTATATATTGTAAAAATGCTTTGAAATATTTTACAAACATGCGTATTGAGTATGCAATTTTTTTCGAATAAAAAATAAAATTAGGTTATTTTTTATTTACTATTCAGACCATAATTGGTTTTCAATTTATAAAAAAGTACGTTTAAATTTTGAGAATACCGCGTCGCGCGATAATTGCAGTGATCTTGTAACTATAAGGTAAATGTAACTACTTCTTTCTGACGTAATTTAATCACCTACTCGTATATACACAGTACTGATTATTTTTGAAAAAAGTAATGTAAAGTGTTTGATTGTTAAAAATAATATAACAGATTATTCAATGAATAAATATGTTGGCAGTATTAATTTAAAATATTTTTTGAGACTAACAATTAGTTAGATATATAAAATATTTGCATAGATTTAGGAAACACTGTGAAAATTGAAATTTTTGCTTAGATTGGAATTCCTTAGTGTTTGATTAACGGAAAAAGATCGACATGTTAGATTAAACTCAATAGATCAAGCGTAGTAAATTAAATTATTATGCTTACCTATGGACTTTCCGATGTAAACAACACGTCATGCAATTAAATATTATACAACAAGTGAGATTTGAAAAAAGTATTTTCTTACAATAAGATTGAATTCCATGATAAGCAATGAGTTTTCAGTTATTTGTCAAACAAATTACTTACAAAATTTATTAAAATGTTCTTTTTGATTTGAAGCAAAAATAATTTTTAAACAATCTAATGCAAAATAAAACATCAGAGTTTCATAATATTACTTTTGATCATCAGACATCATACAAAGTTATTTTGTCACAAAAGCTTTACACGTTAATGTTTTTTCTCTTTTATCTACTAAGCTTTTATTTTGGATAAAATAGTACAAAAGAAAACTATCTTTTTCTTTCTCTTTCTGTTTCCGAAAGACAAACGTTAGCTTACAACATTATTGTGTTGGCGTAACTCGATAATTCAACGTTGCACTGTAGAATACACGAATAAAAACGAAACGCGCAATGGAAACACAGCTCAAGAGTTTCGTTCCATTTGCCAAAATGTACATCATAAATAGAGGCCGTTAGGTGGTTCTGCAAACGTTGGGCAGAGCGTCATTTTTATGCATCAAAAAGTGAGCGAGAAAGAGAGAGAGAGGAGGGAGAGAGAGAGACGAATAAAGGAAAGAAAAATAAAAAACAAATAAACGGTACAGTGTGGATGGGGAATGACGATACGCGCTCGTATATGATGTATTGGTGGTCGAAGTTATTGCAAGAAAAAACCGCGTCGAGAGTCAAAATAAAAACGTTTCGAGTTCAACTGAAGTATCGAGTGCGTGGTGTACGTTACAATTTTTTTTTTTTTTCAGATTGAAAAAGGGCTCGTTGCACTCATTTTATGTATCATTTTTACAAGAGCCACGCGCTTTTTCTCAAATTCCTAGAGACACATGATATAATCGTAAAACGTTTTGATATTGATGTCTAATACTAGGAACTTTTCACTGGTGCTCAAAAGGGATGAATGTGATGTAACCAAAACGCTAGTTGAAAATCAATAAGAGAATTTCGATAGCATTTTTGTACAAATATTAACGTGTGATTGAAATTTCAAAAGCGTTTCCGTTTAATCTAATGTTATATATAGTTTTGATCAAGCACAATTTTATTAAAAGACAATTTAAAAAATGTATGAATGTTTTATTAATTTTTTTCAAGACAAATATCTATATCAAATATTTCTAATCAAATATATCAATAACAAAACATTGATGTAATGCAATGTGAATATACCGGTTTTAAATTTTAATACTGTAACGATAAATGAAAAAAAGAGCTCATAATTTGTAGAACTGCAGTTCAGAATATCTATATATATTCGTAAAGAAAAAGAGCAGATCTTTGATCCGAGTTTCCGCATCGTTTTTTCATTAGCACCCTCGTCGTTCGACGACAGTGTGGAGAAAAAAGAAAAAGAGACGGAAAAACATGAGGGTCCGCGTGGGTGAACATGCGTTTCTCACTGTTCATTCGATGCGAGTCACGTTTGCTTTCCACGTTGCTGCAAAAAGAGCACCTACGAGTTTCGGCGTGAAAAGGCAAAAATAAATTGGAGTAGGAACTTTTGAGAGCGTGTGAAAGTTCAATGCGCATGAAATTGAAAGTATAAGTAATTAAAACTAAAGTTATGAACGATACTATATTACAGTTCGATAGCCCGTAGGCTTCTGTAGATAATATTTGCTGTAGCGTCAGATAGCCTCTGAATGGTTATTGAAACTGTTGAAATGCATGTATGTGAGTTAATTGCAGGAACGAAAATCAATCAATTTAGAGAAAAAGCGAGAAAATTATAAATGTAATAAGAGCAGCTTAGCAGCATTATGCGAGTTAACTGTCGTTCTCACAGTGTCGATACTGGGAGAGGATCGTACAATCTAATCATGGAAACACTTCCTTTTCAATAGTTAGTCTAGAATAAATGGTCTTCCGATGCAGACGTCCCTTTGCTAGTACATTTTAATAAAACTTATAATTAAAATATAATTGACACTTTTATTTACTTAATATTAACTCCATAATCCTAGAGAATCAAATTAAAGCTGTGTAATTAAAGTGATTTAGGACATACGATTGTAGCTTACATTATATTCTTTTGCTCAATCTTTGTCAACAAATACAATTGTTTGTTCAACGACTCAAAGAATATTAGTCGTCATAATAGAACTCTTTGTTGGAAGAACCAAGCAGTTTTTAAATCACAAAATTAAAAGATGACTGAGCAGATATTTTCTTACACTTACTAAAATCATGCAGCGAGCACAACAAATACACCTTGGTAGACAAGAAAAAGGGAAAGAGGAAAACGCGACGGTGCGAGGGTAAAAGAGGCCAGAAAAAAAGCCTTGGAATACTTTACAAGAGTGCGGATGCGTTTTACAGTAGAACGCACACACAAGAGCCGCGTAATGCGCTCGCTTTGTTGTAGATTCAGACAGATGTTATACACACGTATAAGCCTTTGAAAATTACTCGGTATTGTCTTTGGTGCATATACTTGCAATAATATTCCGTTCTGTTTATGTGCAGTATTCCTGTTGCTTTTTCCCTCTGTTTTATCCCTATTAGCTTTGAGAGCTTGAACATTTTCAGCCCGAGTAAGCTCAAAGACTTTATGCCTTATCTTTTTTCTCTCTCTGCATTTTCAATTAATTAATATATCTGCATATTCATGATGGAAACTTGTTAGTTCTTTAGACTGAGTGAGCCGTAATATAGTAGTTTTAATTAAGAGTTAAAGTATAATTTTCCCTCTCTACCAAAAGACGAGCAGTTGGCTTGAAATTGAAAAAGAATTTTGCCAAGATTAATTTGGTGCTGTGCGTAGGCCGTATTTTTATATTATAACTACATTTAGACTGCCCGTCATCAACATATACATCCATCCATCCATCCATCCATCCATCCATCCATCTATCCATCCATCCACCCATCCATCCATCCATCCATCCATCACGATTATCGACAATAAGAAAACTTCATAGAATAATTTCTTGCTTCAATAGTATTCAGTTGTAACATATTATTGAACAAGTCAATCGCTCCATATATAACGCGCGAAAACGAAGAAAAAATATATTAGCGATTACTCGTGCATAGCATAGCGATGATAATCGTTGGGAAGCTATAGCATCAAGCGGGTAATAGAATTGGAGCGCGTGCACAGATGTAATTATCGCGCTCGTGCACCCATGCTGCGCCATCCGCACTATTATTCGGAAAATGGATCGAAAACGTCGAAGAAGTACACATCGCTGCGCGATCGCTTGCGTGTGTATACACTGTAAGACTTTTGAATGCTTCTTGCAAGCGCGAGTTAAAGGTTCGCGTGTACATTCGCACTATTACGCGGATAAAAAGAACTGGAATTTTATTATAGTTGCAAGCACTTTCTCTGTATTGTGCGCTAAAGAAGTACGTATGCTATTTTCGTAATAGCTCAATGTTGTTTGTTTATAATACGTACACGTTAATGAGAATCGGCATTGATATATTTTTATGGATCAATTCATAATTGATAACGTTATGAAAGAGAGCTTATAAAAAGGAAGTTTTGTCTATGTAACACAAAGATTTAGTGTATGACTTGGACGTCATGACTAAGATCGTTATTCACTCAACATCCGCTTCAAAGTTATAAATTTCCCTACTCTTGCTTACAACAGCTAAAGGTCACGTAACTACCTGGATTTATAGTTTCTTAGATATTTCTAGTGCAAAATTCAATTAATTTATCATATAATGTTATAATGTCCATAAAAATGGCATAAATTTCTTGTCGAAATGTTATACGTTCAAAATAGATAACTACTAATGGATATTGATTATCCGAACGAGGAAAACTCACTGAGAGTTTCCGAATTAATTCTATTTACCGATACGATACTTTCCATACACAAGGGGATTATATGGTATAACTGATAGATGGGCTGGATGTATGTGAATAATTAAAGCCCAAGTAATTGAAACGAATTGTAGGCTCAACGTACATTTTTATTCTAATGAAAAATTGTAATCAAAATAATAATTCGGCATACCATAATTCCAACATCAATATTTTTTAGTCTAATCACGCCTTTTAATTGAAATAATCGAAACCGTGTAGATAGTACACGAAACAAAAAAAAAAACAAACAAAAAATTAAAACGAAGTAAACATCGATGATCAAACATGGGCATCAAAATATATCGGCGGGTGTTATCTCGTTGGGATTTTCAAGCAAACAGTTCACTCGAGCGAGTGTAACGTGTGCCAGACCATCCAATCGGCTACTGCACCACGCTGATAAGCTTCTCGCGTTTACTTTGGCCGAGTAGACGTCTTCGCGCGGCTGAGGTGTCCGTACGTACTGCGGCTCCGTGAACAAAGGCCTGACCATCCTTGCCACCAACTAAGCAATTTGGGATTGATATGCGCACGCTGGACTATGGCCCTAGTCATCGAATACAATTTGTGCAGTGCTGAAACACTGGGGTTAAAGCGAATCACGTGCATTATTTAATGGAGATGTCGTTCTATTGATTTTGTATTGTTGTGTATTAATGCTCTTATTATTATGAATTTGCTCGTTGTATAAAAGTTAGTTTTAAAAACTTGTCATTGATCAATCGCTTTCTTCCAATAAGCTGAGGAAATGTTAATTTACATTGAGCTTGAGCATTCTTCGCACGGTTTGTATTATGATACGTGATCATATTTGCAAAATATAAGTTACCTGGTTTATGTATACATTCGAGTATAAATTGTAGAAATGAAATGAAAATTTGCTAAAATAAGCTGTCTGCTGACCATAAGTTATTAATATGTTTTTATATAATCAAATTAAGTACAGTTGAGTAGAATGTTATTTAGTTTTTGAAAGAAATGTAGATTTTTATCATTAATCATAAAAAGTAATTTTTTTTTAACTACATAATGTACTAGAAATTAGTTTTTGAAATCAACCCAGATCCTAACAACTAATGCATGGATTTAGATCAGTAATTTAAAAAGGGATATTGATTACTGCAATAGTAACAGTCAAATCCATTGTGTATATAAATTCTACGTAGCGATGAAATCCATATCATCTCATTGTAATAGCGAATCCAGTAAATTATGGTAAGCCATCTTGAGGGCGGAGAAGTTTGTAACCTAATTTGGAACTTAATCCTTTATTGAAATGCTTGTTATAGATTTATTGAAATGAAACTCATCTAATATTTACATAGACGACAAATGATACTGTGTATATAATCAATTATGGTAATACTTAATTTTTAATTGTAAATAATTTATAAATGAATAATTCTGTCATGAATTACATGAGAAATTTTGTGATGTATATTGTATTGAATTTTAAGAATTTGACACACATGATGAGTAAAATTTTTTGAAAGATGGTTGCATACATAATATTCTTTAGTATTTGTCTTAGAGAATAAAAAATCTGGATGATTATTAAAATAATTACTCAGCTCTAATACGATTAAAATACGAGAATATTACTAGATAAATAGCACATTTGAGTTCATTCAAGAATATTTAAATAGAACTCAAGAATAACTCATAAACGTTCTATTGAATACACCGATCATGAACAAAATCATACTTTCCTTTTTATAAAATATATTTGCTTTCCTTTGTTAAAAAAATCTAGCTTTTATTGAGTCGATAATTCTCTTACTCAACGTAACAGCTTTTACATTGAGCTAGTCTGATTGGCATTCTTATCGTACTTCTAAAGAAGATGCAAAAATATTGTATGTCTATAAAAAAATTAGATTCAGTGCGTAAGAATAAGAAGTAACAATAAGAGCCCGAACAACTATTCCGAAAATACGGTTTTAGAATGGTATTTGTATTCATTATACGGTTATGTCTCTCCCGTGTTACAGAATGATTTATGTGGGAGCATATAAATTATAGAAGTGACATGGTGGTCAGAATCGATAGATACGCATCTTCGACAACTAAATCACCAACTGAAAATAAAAGATAGAACGAGATAAGAGTCGAAAATGTTATTCGTAACGTAATAATGCCTACGAGCTAACATAGACGGTTATTTCATTTGGGATTTATCAGTTAAAATAATACATTAGCTATCTGATCTGTATGAATCTGCCGACGTCAGCTCATCAGTCAAACGATGACTTTCATATCCCCCAGGAGAAGAGAAAAGACAAGAAAATCGAGCGTAATTGCCGATGAACGAAGCACACGCGGAGCTTTGGCGGGCTAGAGTGAATGAAGCTGCGCGCGCTTGCTGGAAGGGAGAGAGAGACAGAGAGAGAGAGAGAGAGAGAATGAGTAGGAGGGTTCGTCGAGTGCAGCTCTGTGCGTTCCGAAGGCTCAGAGTGCTCGCTGGCACGGTGGCGTCCGCAGCCCATATACGTTACATATACACACATTCGCCCGCGCGTACGTCCGTGTGCATTTGTCCTATCTGGTGGACGAGGAAAGAGAAAGTGAGTGCGATCGAGAGTGGTGTTTTTCGGAGTGCATCTTTGTAAAATAAACAAGGAAGCAACTGGTGTTCGGTGCAATATATTATCGAATTCAAAAGTCAATATGAAGTGCTGCATCGTTTTGTGCGTACTGTTGGCTGTCGGGACTAAAGCTGTCACCGAAAATGAGATGCTCAACCAGTGTAGCGAACTCATGACTCAGCATGAATTCGATCTTACTAAGGTAGGTTCATCCGACAATGAGCTTTTTCTATAAAATAGAGTGAACGAAGCTTGCGGCTGTTTGCCGCCCAATCTCTTGCACGACTTTTGTTTTATTTTATGGTGAGCTGTGTGAGTGAGTGCTCGAAAAAAAATTTGAAAAGTTTCCAAGTGCTTGTTAAAATTACATTCTGCTGGATTAAGGATGGGCCTTAATTGTAGTTGAATTGAAAATTCGCAAGATTGTTGGAAAAGAGGATAGTCAGAGTCATTTTTATAAATGAACTTATTGTGAAATAATAGTTATTATATAAGAAGGATAATGAAACGATGGATGATCGAAAATGTACTTCGAACCTTTAGTTTTGAGAAATATTTAGGATAGCCGTTATTGATTTTTGATCTCGCAAATTTCAATAGAATATTAATCTTGGCCTTTATTGTATACATATTTGGAACAAAATATCGGCTGTACACAAATGTTACCTGACAACGTCAACTATTTCAGTGCTATCATATTTGCGTCAATCAAACTTCAATGAGATATTAAGTTGACGCTTTTTATAGAGATATTTACGACATATCACTGTAGATATCATCTGCCAACATTATTTAAATTACTGAGAAGGATGACAAAAGGAATATTGTGAATTAAATTTAATAATATCTTCAATAATATATTATAAGGTTCTAGCAAATTTTATTTAACGTCATAAATTTATTATTTCGTTGTTATATTTTCACAAATATATCACACACAAAGAAAACAGTAAGACATCCATTGATGTCAGCAAATCAAGCACAATCAGAGCAAAGATCGCATTCCACACAGTCTCCTAAAGCCAACTTTTCCGCGACGATGAAATGTCACGAAAAGGCTAACATAGCACTCGACCAAGATTCTCCCGCTGCCGCTTATGAACGGCGTAGCACAGTCTTTTTTGAATTATCAAATTGATGACTCAAGGCCGAGTTCATTCGGGTGACATCAATTGCCTGCGGGTTGCCGGACGCTTGTACACGGCGCGCGCAAGCTTGCATATTACATATACACATCGACTTGGTTTTTATACACAGAGGCTAGCGCGTTGAATTTGTGCAACTCCGGAAGAATGTTGTTATTTTTTACTATTACCATCGCATTTCTATCATGTGTCGTTGTTTATGCATTTTAAACACAGTTACATGAATGTTTAGATTGTGGATTAAACTTCTTATATATTTGTTAGAATGATTTCAATCAAAATGTAGATGTTTTTTGCAGAAACATTTTTTTTAAAAGAAACTTTTAAAGTTAGTTTTCTTGTATGGGTTTCATATTATTATGAAAAATCTATGTTTCGATTCATGAAACTGCAATAGGAAATATTGCTGATTAAAACTGTATCAATTCAAAGAGTTTATATTTGCAGTAATAAAATATCCATAGTATTTATTCTTAATAACATGTTTTGTTACTATATTGTTATTTTCGAACCAACTGTAGTCAATAGTTAACTACAGTATTAGTAGTACAAAAAATATAAATAATTGCTATGATTTAAAATTATGGGAAAATATACTATTCTTATATAACAGTGAAATTGTGCGAACAGAAATAAAAAATACAATGTAATTGATTATTTTTGATAATTTATAAAAATAGTTAATTGAATAATACTCTTCCGGTATGTACAATAATCTTATGATATAATTTATTATCGTTAACTATATTCTTTAATAAAATACCTATAGCTTACTAACATGGAATATATAGTTAACGATAATAAATATAATAAAATTGTGTACCACTATTTTTCTCGGCGAGAACAACGAAGAATCATGTATTTATAGTTAAAAAAATAAAAACAAGTGAAAACTTAATATCAAGTGCATATTCCTAATATTTTATTTTAGAAGAACCAATTTTTATTGAATGAAGTCAAATTAAATCAATGCAATTGTAGAAAATGAGTCATGTTTTTTACTACGTTATTGTACATTTTAGACATAAATCCTGAGTAATATATTTCGCTATTTTGTGTGTGCACGCGCACGTGTGTATTTTAATATGTTATAGAAGCTTAGATGAATCTTTGATTTATGTAATAATTTGTTTTTCAAGATAAAAAGAAGAAGGAATACTTTTTATGTTTACACATTCGATTATTTATTCAATCTAAATTAAAAAACTTTCAAAGTCGGTGTTTTTTAGATTAATCTTGTATTATACAAAAATTATTAATATCTCAAGCGTTGTCTATGCATGATCATGAAAGAGTCTTTAACTTCCAAAATTGGATTAAATTTCATTGAGCGATGTAAACCAAACGTATTAGTTTTGATGAAAAATAGTAAAAAATGAGTTATTTGATGTTGAAAGTTAAAGTTAGACTCGTTTAAAATCTATGTAGATAAGGCATTAGTATAATCCTCAGCACTTTTTTTATCATATTAATTAAATTAAATTTCAAGTGACCTAATTTCAATAATGAAATACTAATGACGCTTTGATTATGAAAATGTATTACAAACAGAATGGCGTTTATCAACATTATGTCATAAATAAACTCTTCCATTAGAAAAAGCAATTTTAGAAAACAAGCTGAACAGAAGCAATGCAAGGTGAAAGAAGCCACATTGATATTTCTGAGAACTCGCAACATAGCTTATACTTTCAATTAGGACACGTTTCTAGAATTCCCACACCCAAACATATTGAGGCAGGTATAATCCACTTATTTCTTTCGCGGGAGACATCGACATTCCTTTAGTTCCATTTCTCGCGGCAATAGTGTGATCGTGCACGTGCCTATGTCTTTTATTACCGTATCCGGAATAGCGGCCGGATAAGGACGCGCACAGTGTCGTGGCAACGAATGAATGACGACTATGAATTCCCTCGAATGTACCTACAACCAGACTGTTGTTACGACAAGCGAATGTTACGAGTGTGCTCAAATGGCTTATTAGGATAACAATGAGTTCTATGCCGATGATTGAAAAGTGTCATGCAAATTGATTCTAACACCTACAACGGAAGTTCGAGTTATACTCGCAAGTCATCACAGTTATGAAACGTTTCTTGTTGACCAAAAATCCTATGAAAATATAACTTTTAACAATGTATCTTTTTCTCGCACCAGTTATCAAAGCCAAGCTAGAACCAAAACTTTCGCTCACGTTCTGGTAAGGCTTTATTATTTTTGCTACACGGGTCACTCGATATAAAACAGAATAATTATAGATTTTCATTTTTAAGTGAAATATACGAACTGAAACAATGTATAAAAATTGTATATTGCTATTTTTCACCTACATGAGAATTTATTTTTCCCTCGGTTATTTCTTTTGCTTCGCGTACCCTCTGTTGACCAATAATATTATCTATGTGCAGGATGCTTTCCACGTCGGGAACTGCCGCATGAATGCGAGTATTTTTATGGTAGAGTTATGATAGTTATTTATTCTTTCGTTGAAAAATATTTTTAACGTTGACTAGATTATATGCTAAACAAACATTTTATTACGTCCATTATTAATGTTCAAGTATGAAACGGTTGAAAAAACCAACCAACCGACGAGAACAAAAAGACTCATAAAATCAATTAAAAAATCATTGTTCATGAGTGCGTAAGGCTTCAACGACGGAAGCACTTACGTACCGCTTATTTCTCTATTTGACGTGATCGTTAAAACTTGTCTTGTCCGCACTCTGGCCGTAACGTCGCGACAGTCGTGACTTGGCTGATATTCCCAGTCACATGAAGATTTGTTATTTAAAGAGCATGATATTTACCTATATTTTCTCGAGAAAATTAGATGTTCTATTATAATGTCTTGTCTGTTTGAAAATCAAGAAAAATTACAATAATACAATATAATTTGAGAATGATAGCTAATCTGTTGCAGTACGATAAATGGTCTTTCTGGTATTCGTTTCAAGATTTAAACGAGCATGTCAAGGCAAGGATTTTGCCTTTTATATCTATAACAATGTTATATGTGAAGGAAACGCTTTAACTTGGATATATTTTCTCGGGTAGCACGTACAAAAAAAAATAAATTCACTGTAGGAAATTGACAAATGTACCTCTCTATATATTTTTTAAAAGTAAATATTATAGTTTGCATATATACTTATACCCTTTAACTTATTTTTATGGGCAACAAAAATCTTATATGACATATCCAGGCAGAGTGGATATAAAATACAAAATGAAGGTAAAAAATAAGCGGATGCAATATTGAAGTATACTATACATTCATAACATATTATGTAATATTAGACTGCAATCACGTTTTACTATCTATAATATGACAAAGATTATTAATTCTAATAAGTAAATATAGATTGTTCAGTTGATTACGTAATTAATTCAATATATTCATTTCTTTCTCAAAATAATTCAAAAAACTTTTTTAAAACTGATATCTTGATATTTTTAACTATGTTTTTAAAGTAGACAATTTTGAAATATATATAATGAAAAATAATGCTAATAGTTGTAAAAGTAAAAAATAGATCACTTTTTATATTAGTCAAAAGATACATCTTAATAGACAGCTTCCAAGGGCTTTAGATATCAAAAGCTCTCTATAAAGTATTGGATGCTTTTTTAAAACCTTTAGTCTATAAAACAATTGCGTTGAAAAGATGATCTTGAAAGATCAAAATAAAAATTCCATAAAAGAAAACAGAAAATATATATATGTATATGTAAAGATATATATATATATATATATATATATATATAGTTTTTTCCTATAAATCAATACATCTATGGCTTGATAATTATCTTTAAAGCAAATTTTAACGATAATATTCTAAGTAAGTAATATTCATTCTTTTAATTAAAACTTTCATTTCACATGGTAATTACGATTTAATTTACCGCTAGTTTACTGAAATTCCATTTCTTTATTCCATATTAATGAGAAAGCATAAAAAAAGAACACCATAAGTTCATTTTTCGAAACTAGAATCCGAAAATCTATGTAAGTTTGCACGTGAACCTGGTAATGACAATAATCAAAAGCTCA